CAATTTCAATTTCAATTTCAATTTCAATGATTCCTATGAATAACAGTAGGAACACTATGTTTTAATACTGATAAATCTTACTTTTAATGCACGATTTTTTCGCAAATTAATTTTTGGTATAAGCATTCTTGTTTTTTTTTATATTCTTAATTATCTAAAATCTATCTACTTACCGTTGTTAATTTACTCTATCTGTGTACCAGCGTAGGTTGATATTGCAGATATGTTGAGCTATACATTGACCATCTTACTGTGTTTAGAAGGAAGGAATTATCAAGGGCTATTACGACTATATAGCACTGGGAAGGGGTCAGGATAAGGATTTGGGATGGGACGGGGGAAAGGAATGGTGCCCAACCACTTGTGGACGGTCTCGGGGGATTGAACGCCGACCTGCATGACGCGAGACAGTCGCTCTACCGTCCAGCCCAAGTGGCTGGACTCACTGAGTTAAGAACAAAGACAAAATGGGTAGAACACTTGCAGAATTTAAAACATTCCTGCTTGTTCAGTAATTTGTATTCCATTGAATGTTTCTGTATTTCATCATCTATTCTACTGTATTTATTTATTGTATTTTTCTTGTATTTTTATTTTATATATCGTGTGTGGTTTTTATTTTTTTTGTTGCTTGGAGGTCTTCGCCTTGGGCCGCTGCCGTGGCAGCTGGTGGGCGCAGCCCCAATGATAGTTTGTCTCTGTGCAAAGCTTACAAACTGCCTCGTTTGTTATGGCTTGTCGTAGTTGGCTCTCTCTTAACAGGACCGTAGACGGTCCTGTCTCAGTATGATGCTGCCATCCCTCAGACTGTCTCAGCACGATGCTGCCATCCCTCAGACTGTCTCAGACTGTCTCAGCACGATGCTGCCATCCCCAGCCCTGCCTCAGACTGTCTCAGCACGATGCTGCCATCCCCAGCCCTCCCTCAGACTGTCTCAGCACGATGCTGCCCTCCCTCAGACTGTCTCAGACTGTCTCAGCACGATGCTGCCATCCCCAGCCCTGCCTCAGACTGTCTCAGCACGATGCTGCCATCCCTCAGACTGTCTCAGACTGTCTCAGCACGATGCTGCCCTCCCTCAGACTGTCTCAGACTGTCTCAACATGATGCTGCCCTCCCTCAGACTGTCTCAGACTGTCTCAGCACGATGCTGCCATCCCCAGCCCTGCCTCAGACTGTCTCAGTAAAATGCTGCCCTCCCTCAGACTGTCTCAGACTGTCTCAGTATGATGCTGCCCTGCCTCAGACTGTCTCAGCACGATGCTGCCCTCCCTCAGACTGTCTCAGTATGATGCTGCCCTGCCTCAGACTGTCTCAGACTGTCTCAGTATGATGCTGCCCTGCCTCAGACTGTCTCAGCACGATGCTGCCCTCCCCAGCCCTGCCTCAGACTGTCTCAGTATGATGCTGCCCTGCCTCAGACTGTCTCAGTATGATGCTGCCCTGCCTCAGACTGTCTCAGCACGATGCTGCCCTCCCCAGCCCTGCCTCAGACTGTCTCAGCAAAATGCTGCCATCCCCAGCCCTGCCTCAGACTGTCTCAGCAAAATGCTGCCATCCCCAGCCCTGCCTCAGACTGTCTCAGCAAATGCTGCCATCCCCAGCCCTGCCTCAGACTGTCTCAGCACGATGCTGCCCTCCCCAGCCCTCCCTCAGACTGTCTCAGCAAAATGCTGCCATCCCCAGCCCTGCCTCAGACTGTCTCAGCAAAATGCTGCCATCCCCAGCCCTGCCTCAGACTGTCTCAGCAAAATGCTGCCATCCCCAGCCCTCCCTCAGACTGTCTCAGCAAAATGCTGCCATCCCCAGCCCTGCCTCAGACTGTCTCAGCACGATGCTGCCATCCCTCAGACTGTCTCAGACTGTCTCAACACGATGCTGCCATCCCCAGCCCTCCCTCAGACTGTCTCAGCAAAATGCTGCCATCCCCAGCCCTGCCTCAGACTGTCTCAGCACGATGCTGCCATCCCCAGCCCTGCCTCAGACTGTCTCAGCACGATGCTGCCATCCCCAGCCCTGCCTCAGACTGTCTCAGCACGATGCTGCCATCCCCAGCCCTGCCTCAGACTGTCTCAGCACGATGCTGCCATCCCCAGCCCTGCCTCAGACTGTCTCAACAAAATGCTGCCATCCCCAGCCCTGCCTCAGACTGTCTCAGCAAAATGCTGCCATCCCCAGCCCTGCCTCAGACTGTCTCAGCACGATGCTGCCATCCCTCAGACTGTCTCAGACTGTCTCACCACGATGCTGCCCTCCCCAGCCCTGCCTCAGACTGTCTCAGCACGATGCTGCCATCCCCAGCCCTGCCTCAGACTGTCTCAGCAAAATGCTGCCCTCCCCAGCCCTGCTTCAGACTGTCTCAGCAAAATGCTGCCCTCCCCAGCCCTGCCTCAGACTGTCTCAGCACGATGCTGCCATCCCCAGCCCTGCCTCAGACTGTCTCAGCACGATGCTGCCATCCCCAGCCCTGCCTCAGACTGTCTCAACAAAATGCTGCCCTCCCCAGCCCTCCCTCAGACTGTCTCAGCAAAATGCTGCCCTCCCCAGCCCTGCCTCAGACTGTCTCAGCAAAATGCTGCCCTCCCCAGCCCTGCCTCAGACTGTCTCAACACGATGCTGCCATCCCCAGCCCTGCCTCAGACTGTCTCAACACGATGCTGCCATCCCTCAGACTGTCTCAACACGATGCTGCCATCCCCAGCCCTCCCTCAGACTGTCTCAGCAAAATGCTGCCCTCCACAGCCCTGCCTCAGACTGTCTCAACACGATGCTGCCATCCCCAGCCCTGCCTCAGACTGTCTCAACACGATGCTGCCATCCCTCAGACTGTCTCAGACTGTCTCAACACGATGCTGCCATCCCCAGCCCTCCCTCAGACTGTCTCAGCAAAATGCTGCCATCCCCAGCCCTGCCTCAGACTGTCTCAGCACGATGCTGCCATCCCCAGCCCTGCCTCAGACTGTCTCAGCACGATGCTGCCATCCCCAGCCCTGCCTCAGACTGTCTCAGCACGATGCTGCCATCCCCAGCCCTGCCTCAGACTGTCTCAGCACGATGCTGCCATCCCCAGCCCTGCCTCAGACTGTCTCAACAAAATGCTGCCATCCCCAGCCCTGCCTCAGACTGTCTCAGCAAAATGCTGCCATCCCCAGCCCTGCCTCAGACTGTCTCAGCACGATGCTGCCATCCCTCAGACTGTCTCAGACTGTCTCAACACGATGCTGCCCTCCCCAGCCCTGCCTCAGACTGTCTCAGCACGATGCTGCCATCCCCAGCCCTGCCTCAGACTGTCTCAGCAAAATGCTGCCCTCCCCAGCCCTGCCTCAGACTGTCTCAGCAAAATGCTGCCCTCCCCAGCCCTGCCTCAGACTGTCTCAGCACGATGCTGCCATCCCCAGCCCTGCCTCAGACTGTCTCAGCACGATGCTGCCATCCCCAGCCCTGCCTCAGACTGTCTCAACAAAATGCTGCCCTCCCCAGCCCTCCCTCAGACTGTCTCAGCAAAATGCTGCCCTCCCCAGCCCTGCCTCAGACTGTCTCAGCAAAATGCTGCCCTCCCCAGCCCTGCCTCAGACTGTCTCAACACGATGCTGCCATCCCCAGCCCTGCCTCAGACTGTCTCAACACGATGCTGCCATCCCTCAGACTGTCTCAGACTGTCTCAACACGATGCTGCCATCCCCAGCCCTCCCTCAGACTGTCTCAGCAAAATGCTGCCCTCCACAGCCCTGCCTCAGACTGTCTCAACACGATGCTGCCATCCCCAGCCCTGCCTCAGACTGTCTCAACACGATGCTGCCATCCCTCAGACTGTCTCAGACTGTCTCAACACGATGCTGCCATCCCCAGCCCTCCCTCAGACTGTCTCAGCAAAATGCTGCCCTCCACAGCCCTGCCTCAGACTGTCTCAGTATGATGCTGCCCTGCCTCAGACTGTCTCAGACTGTCTCAGTATGATGCTGCCCTGCCTCAGACTGTCTCAGCACGATGCTGCCCTCCCCAGCCCTGCCTCAGACTGTCTCAGCAAAATGCTGCCCTCCCCAGTCCTGCCTCAGACTGTCTCAGCAAAATGCTGCCATCCCCAGCCCTGCCTCAGACTGTCTCAGCAAAATGCTGCCATCCCCAGCCCTGCCTCAGACTGTCTCAACACGATGCTGCCCTCCCCAGCCCTGCCTCAGACTGTCTCAGCACGATGCTGCCATCCCCAGCCCTGCCTCAGACTGTCTCAGCAAAATGCTGCCCTCCCCAGCCCTGCCTCAGACTGTCTCAGCACGATGCTGCCATCCCCAGCCCTGCCTCAGACTGTCTCAGCACGATGCTGCCATCCCCAGCCCTGCCTCAGACTGTCTCAGCAAAATGCTGCCATCCCCAGCCCTGCCTCAGACTGTCTCAGCAAAATGCTGCCATCCCCAGCCCTGCCTCAGACTGTCTCAGCAAAATGCTGCCATCCCCAGCCCTGCCTCAGACTGTCTCAGCAAAATGCTGCCATCCCCAGCCCTGCCTCAGACTGTCTCAACACGATGCTGCCCTCCCCAGCCCTGCCTCAGACTGTCTCAGCACGATGCTGCCATCCCCAGCCCTGCCTCAGACTGTCTCAGCACGATGCTGCCCTCCCCAGCCCTGCCTCAGACTGTCTCAGCAAAATGCTGCCATCCCCAGCCCTGCCTCAGACTGTCTCAGCAAAATGCTGCCATCCCCAGCCCTGCCTCAGACTGTCTCAGCAAAATGCTGCCATCCCCAGCCCTGCCTCAGACTGTCTCAGCACGACGCTGCCATCCCCAGCCCTGCCTCAGACTGTCTCAGCAAAATGCTGCCCTCCCCAGTCCTGCCTCAGACTGTCTCAGCAAAATGCTGCCCTCCCCAGTCCTGCCTCAGACTGTCTCAGCAAAATGCTGCCCTCCCCTAAGGCGCATTCTTAACTCCTTGTAATCATATATATATTTTTGTCAGATGAAAACATATATAAACCTACCGTATAATATATTTTAGTTTTATATATTGGCCTAAGGTAGGTTAGGTAAGGTGTTCTATTGGTCGTTTCGAACACGTGTAGCTCGAACACGTGTTGTTCGAACACGTGTTCACCATAGAACGTGATTGAAACACATTAACAGAAGGTCAAATTATGTTGTATAAGCAAAGAGGCGGTTTCTGGGTTATCTGATAGATGGATTATCTGATAGATCAGTGTCTATTATTCCTCACGATCTTTACCACCACTTCAATCATAATCTATCCACTCTAACTACCCCCTTACTACCCCCTCTAACCCCCCCCCCTCAACCACCAGCTCAGCGACAAGCTGGCTTAAAGCGGATGATCCAATCGGCTTTCAGTGGGTCTGTATCAGCTCTGGAAAGCCTTCCTTCTGTTGGCTTAGGGTCTGCCAGCGCCACTCCAACATAGGCTAGTGAATCACACTCTTGTGTATGGAAATGTCATCCATATCAGAGGATTAGATCATTGGCGAAGACTTGTTACTAGTTCGGAACTGGTTCGGAACGAGGCAATTCATTAGGAAGATTCATGTAAGAATGCTTGTTAAGCTACGTGGATGATGATTGGGTAATTAGCAGGATGAATTGTTAAACTAGTACAGCTATGGGGCATTTGGAAAAGATTGGAGGATTGGGATTTGGGCTAGGATGCAGGGAAGGATTGGTGCCCAAGTACTTGGACGTTCAGGGATTGAACGTCGGCTTTCAAACAACCAGGGGCCAGATTCTCGAAGCAGTTACGCAAGCACTTACGAACCTGGGGGCCAGATTCACCAAGCAGTTACGCAAGCACTTACGAACCTGGGGGCCAGATTCAGAAAGCAGTTACGCAAGCACTTACGAACCTGTCCATCTTTTCTCAATCTTTGGCGGCTTTGTTTACAATTATTAAACAGTTAATGAGCTCGGAAGCACCAGGAGGCTGTTTATAACAATAACAACAGTTGATTGGCAAGTTTTCATGCTTGTAAACTGTTTAATAAATGTAACCAAAGCCGTCAAAGATTGAGGAAAGATGTACACGTTCGTAAGTACTTGCGTAACTGCTTCGTGAATCTGGCCCCAGGTAATCACAGAACCATGCAAGCCAAACAATTGAAGGTTTATAACAAGTGTACAATGACTACTAACAAGTTAAATGGTGGTTACAAACTACAAGATAACTCTGTATCGCTCGTTATCCAGAATAGGATAACACAAAACATTTTGGGGGTTTTGACAACAAAAGCTTTTGGATTTCAATATTTCATGGTCAAATTCGGTTAAGCCGGTCGGCCTAGGGGACAGCACGCTGGACTTGTGATCCTGTGGTCCTGGGTTCAATCCCGGGCGAGAAACAATGGGCAGAGTTTCTTTCACCCTATGCCCCTGTTACCTAGCAGTAAAATAGGTACCTGGGTGTTAGTCTAACTCCCAGGTACCTATTTACTGCTGGGTAACAGGGGCATCAGGGTGAAAGAAACATTTTGTCCATTTGTCTCCGCCTCCACCGGGGATCGAACCCGGAACCTCAGGACTACGAATCCGAAGCGCTGTCCACTCAGCTGTCCGGCGCCCTAGGTAGGGGGGTACTGGTAGGTGGTGAAGGGTAGGGAAGTTGGTGAAGGGTAGGGAAGGTGGTGAAGGGTAGGGTAGGTGGTGAAGGGTAGGTGGTGAAGGGTAGGGTAGGTGGTGAAGGGTAGGTGGTGAAGGGTAGGGAAGTTGGTGAAGGGTAGGGAAGGTGGTGAAGGGTAGGTGGTGAAGGGTAGGGAAGATAGTGAAGGGTAGAGCTGATAGTGAAGGGTAGAGAAGGTGAAATGCTACCCTGAAAAAGAAAACCCTACCCCGAACCAAGCTTCCATGAACTTCAAACCTTTAGAGATCATAAACATGTCTCCACATCCAATGACAGCCAGAGAATAGTGACTTCTGAAGGTCTCTCTACAATTTACACTTTGGTTATCTTGAGGTTATCTTGAGATGCTTTCGGGGCTTTAGTGTCCCCGCGGCCCGGTCCTCGACCAGGCCTCCACCCCCAGGAAGCAGCCCGTGACAGCTGACTAACACCCAGGTACCTATTTTACTGCTAGGTAACAGGGGCATAGGGTGAAAGAAACTCTGCCCATTGTTTCTCGCCGGCGCCTGGGATCGAACCCAAGACCACAGGATCACAAGTCCCGCGTGCTGTCCGCTCGGCCGACCGGCTCCCTGGTCGCTCCATGGTCTCAATAGCAACAAGACCAGATATGTCTTCTTGCAGAACATTGAATAGTTCTTCCTTTGTTCTCTCACCTGGAAGTTCTGGCTTTGTTAAAGTCCTTCCAGATGGACAAATCCACAAGGGCCGTGATGAGGATTCGAACCTGCGTCCGGGAGCATCCAGTTCCAGATGGGTTGCTGGAATTGGGGGACGGGAAGTGGGAGTAGTTAGATAACATACAGATTCTACGGGATCGCCATAGACCGTGCTGCTTGGAGCTTTTTGTTCCAGGGAGCGAATCTTAAACAACAAACAAACACATATATCTTACATAGGAGTAGACTGGACCTCTGTATAGAGAACTGTTACATAGGAGTAGACTCTGAACCTCTGTATAGAGAACTTTTACATAGGAGTAGACTCTGGACCTCTGTATAGAGAACTTTTACATAGGAGTAGACTCTGGACCTCTATATAGAGAACTTTTACATACGAGTAGACTCTGGACCTCTGTATAGAGAACTCTTACATAGGAGTAGACTCTGGACTTCTTTACAGAGAACTCTTACATAGGAGTAGACTCTGGACCTCTGTATAGAGAACTTTTACATAGGAGTAGACTCTTAACCTCTGTATAGAGAACTTTTACATAGGAGTAGACTCTGGACCTCTGCATAGAGAACTCTTACATAGGAGTAGACTGTTGACCTCCCTATAGAGAACTCTCACTTAGGTAAAGTATATATTACGCCCCATCACCCCCCTTCACCCCCTCCCCTTCACAGCACTAAGGGAAGGGGCAGTAAAGAATAACCCCCCTTAGCTTCGCCTCCTCATAAAGGGGGGAAGTAATGGGTATAATGGGAAGCAATTTGGCTGTTATTGCTTCCTGATCATTGTAATCATGTTATGAGGGCGCCGCTTTACCTCATAATGTGCAGCTATGTTGTCGTGAGCAGAGAGCCTCATACTGTGATAGTTTATGTGTGTGCTCGCTCTGGCACGCTCACACGCACGCACGCTCGCACGCACGCACGCACGCACACGCACGAAACTCTGTGTGTGTGTGTGTATACACACACACACACAGTTTCAAGTGTAGATATGATAGAGCCCAATAGGCTCAGGAATCTGTACACCAGTTGATTGACAGTTGAGAGGCGGGACCAAAGAGCCAGAGCTCAACCCCCGCAAACACCACTAGGTGAGTACAAATAGGTGAGTACACACACACACACACAAACGGTATGTACTCACCTAGTTGTGTTTGCGGGGGTTGAGCTTTGGCTCTTTGGTCCCGCCTCTCAACTGTCAATCAACTGGTGTACAGATTCCTGAGCCTATTGGGCTCTATCATATCTACACTTGAAACTGTATGTATGTGTGGCCTTGTGGCTGAATGGACAGCGCTCTGGGGTCATGGTCCTAATGGCCCGGGTTCAATCCCCGGCAGAGGCAGAAACAAACTGGGCAGAGTTTCCTTCACCCTGATGCACCTGCTCACCTAGCATTAAAATAGGTACCTGGGAGTTAGACAACAGCCGTAGGAAATTCTGCGAAATTCTGCCCATTTGTTTCCACCTCCGCCTGGGATAGAACCCCGAACCTTAGGACTACGAATCCCGATCGATGTCCACTCAGCCACCAGGCCCCCATTACCGCCAGGGAACCTATAATTTCTCTCAATTGAGAGAAATAATAAGTACGAAAACGTAGAGATGAGAAATTGCTTGTCAGTTATAGCGTAGACACATATAGAATCAGGGACAATTATAGCGTAGACACATAGAATCAGGGACAATTATAGCGTAGACACATATAGAATCAGAGACAATTATAGCGTAGACACATATAGAATCAGGGACAATTATAGCGTAGACACATATAGAATCAGGGACAATTATAGCTTAGACACATATAGAATCAGGGACAATTATAGCGTAGACACATATAGAATCAGATACAATTATAGCGTAGACACATATAGAATCAGGGACAATTATAGCTTAGACACATATAGAATCAGGGACAATTATAGCTTAGCCACATATAGAATCAGGAACTATTATAGCTTAGACACATAGAATCAGGTACAATTATAGCATAGCCACATATAGAATCAGGAACTATTATAGCTTAGACACATATAGAATCAGGGACAATTATAGCTTAGACACATAGAATCAGGTACAATTATAGCATAGACACGTATAGAATTAGGTGCAAGTCAGATATCCTATTCATAGGTTTTACTGATCCTTGAAGAGCTGCCAATGAATGGCTATCCAGAGCCGTGTGAATATAGATTGCAAGACCAATGTGATATCTTTTACTGACAGGTGTGATATAAGATGAATGACTTGAGTGCTCGGGATGGAGTGCATTCACCCGTAAAAGACCTGGGTAAATACTGGTTTGGTAACAGGATAGAGTGCATTCACCCGTAAAAGACCTGGGTAAATACTGGTTTGGTAACGGGATAGAGTGCATTCACCCGTAAAAGTCCTGGGTAAATACTGGTTTATTAACAGGATAGAGTGCATTCACCCTCAAAAGACATGGGTAAATACTGGTTTATTAACAGGATAGAGTGCATTCACCCTCAAAAGACATGGGTAAATACTGGTTTATTAACAGGATAGAGTGCATTCACCCTCAAAAGACATGGGTAAATACTGGTTTATTAACAGGATAGAGTGCATTCACCCGCAAAAGCCCTGGGTAAATACTAGTTTGTTAACAGAGATGTTTATTCTTGGAACAAATTACCGGGTACTGTAATAGCCATGGATTGCTGCATTGTTTCAAGCGAAGGTTAGCCACATAGATGAGTTTGGTTAGGCCAATAGATCTAACGCTGTTTCCTGGTTTTATGAGCATGTCTTGTGCTTGTATCGTCAGAGGTGAATGGTGTGGTTGTGGGGGTAGTTTGGGCTGTAAACGAGCAATTTCAGCTGCTATCCTCGTGTTCAGAGTTTGCATATTAATACCCTCAGCTCGACCAATCTACAATTACTTGTGCCATAAGTTCTCACTTGAACGCGGCTAGTTTAAGGCTGGGTAGTGAACATGTAATATTTTCTGTGGCTCTACTTCCCTTTTCTTTTCTGTCTCTACTCCTTCTTCTCTTTCTCTCTCTCTCTCTCTCTCTCTCTCTCTCTCTCTCTCTCTCTCTCTCTCTCTCTCTCTCTCTCTCTCTCTCTCTCTCTCTCTCTCTCTCTCTCTCTCTCTCTCTCTAGCCCTCCCTTCCTCTCTGTCATCACTCTGATGCATGATATTTTCACCTTAAAATATTCAGTGAGTGAACATGACATGGGGAGTTCCTGGTTGACACAGGGTGCTGGTCATGTATCACGCTGTGTCCTGGGTGACACTGGGTAGCCTGTAGCCTGTGTCCTGGTTGACACTGCGAAACCTACAGTGAAATCAACACAAGTTTTTGCAGACAGAGTTAATCCTCAAATTCGACTTGACAATGGACTTGAGAATGGTCCAGGACGGACCGAAACGTCGTCGTCCCTTCACCTTCTAGTGTGTGGTCTGGTCAACAAAGTTCAAATTGTATGATAACATTGTTGACTTCCACTATAGCAGATGTTCTGTAGAAGCCCCAAGAGACTTCTCTGGCATCTTTGTTGGGAGCCTGTCGGCCGAGCGGACAGCACGCTGGACTTGTGATCCTGTGGTCCTGCGTTCGATCCCAGGCGCCGGCGAGAAACAATGGGCAGAGTGTCTCCGAAAGCCCCGAAATCATCTCAAGATAACCTCAAGATAACTTCAACACATCAGGCGTGTTTTTAAAGACTTTTCTACACAATTGGGCACATGAAGAGACAGACTGCTGACTCCTGTTAGCAGACTTGACAGCTTTCCCTTCTCATTGTAAGTCTTATCCCACTAGTTTTCCCTAGAACACGATCCGTTAATCGTTTTACAACTAGGTTCCCAATTACTCCTGGGTGAAGAGAGGGTTATGTTGGAAGATTGGGGCCTAGCCACCCTTCCCTTGCCAGGGGCTCGAACCCTGACCAATTTGCCAGCGAGGCAAGGTGTTCTCTGGGAAAGAAAATTAATATATTATTAGATAACATTCTCTTTAGTGGATTAATCTTCATTAATCATCAATCAGTGATTGGTTCACGACCAAATATCACATTCAATCCAAATAATCTACCACTTATTCATGCCTGTGCCACCTCTTAGGTTCGGTTAGGTTCGGGCAATTTAATATACCAGCTTCATGCCGTGACAACTTAAGCGATTGGGCTGATCAATGACCATGGAGTCATTGATGACCTAAGAGGTAGAGTGTGGACTGAACATATCAATATTGACCCCCAACATTTAACGAAACAAATAAACGAATTTGCAAGAAATAGATCAATATCCAGTAACTGGAGATCAAGAATGACATTATCTTGAGATGATTTCGGGGCTTTAGTGTCCCCGCGGCTCGGTCTTCGACCAGGCCTCCACCCCTAGGAAGCAGCCCGTGACAGAACTAGACTAGATTCACGAAGCAGTTATGCAAGCACTTACGAACCTGGGGCCAGATTCACGAAGCAGTTGCGCAAGCACTTACGAACCTGGGGCTAGATTCACGAAGCAGTTGCGCAAGCACTTACGAACCTGGGGCTAGATTCACGAAGCAGTTACGCAAGCACTTACGAACCTGTGGCCGGATTCACGAAATAGTTACGCAATCACTTACGAACCTGGGGCTAAATTCACAAAGCAGTTACGCAAGCACTTACGAACCTGGGGCCAGATTCACGAAGCGGTTACGCAAGCACTTACGAACCTGGGGCCAGAATCACGAAGCAGTTACGCAAGCACTTACGAACCTGGGGCCAGATTCACGAAGCAGTTACGCAAGCACTGACGAACGTGTACATCTTTCCTCAATCTTTGACGGCTTTGGTTACATTTATTAAACAGTTTACAAGCATGAAAACTTGCCAATCAACTGTTGTTATTGTTATAAACAGCCTCCTGGTGCTTCGGAGCTCATTAACTGTTTAATAATTGTAAACAAAGCCGCCAAAGATGGAGAAAAGATGGACAAGTTCGTAAGTGCTTGCGTAACTGCTTCGTGAATCTGGGCCCAGGTTCGTAAGTGCTTGTGTAACTGCTTCGTGAATCTGGCTCCAGGTTCGTAAGTGCTTGCGTAACTGCTTCGTGAATCTGGCCCCAGGTACTTTAAAAGTGATTTAAAAGTATCACAATAACATTACAAGCCCTGAAACACAGTCATGTTTCTCGGTTTGAGAGATTTTAAATGACAGGGAACCGAATATGGCACCGCTAGAGCGCTTAGGAGTCGATAGCAGCTCTCAGCTCCTGGGCTCCGATCTGTACCCATACGCCTCACAAGAAGAGCCACATGGCGTGTGCCTTTCTTCCTCTGAGTTCCAACACTCACAATTTCCACTTATAAATATTTTCTACGTGAATAATTGTAGAAAACAAAGTCATTATTAAACAAATCAATAATTAATTTACTATTTTTCAACGCTGGATGTCTAGTTTATGGCCTGTTGTACTATTATAGGTTGGTAGTGAAAGTACTTTACTGGAAACTGTCGCGTACCGTTAAAAATTCGATTTAAAATCTGCGCGCGCATCCTCTCGCTGGGGCGGGAACGGACAAAGGAAATAGATGGCGGGAGATTCAAATTTACGCGGGAGATTATCCGGCGTTGGAACTTAATTTATAGCACAACTACCCCATTTAACCTGCCTTATAGAGGCTTGTTGTTGTTGTGGTGACTACTGTTGTTGGTTATAGAGGGAGATGGAGGCAGTGACGTCATATCCACGTGTCCTCTGTAGTTAGGGGGGGTTAGTTCCCTTATATCCACCTCGCCTTTGGGGTCAGGAGGGGTCAGTGGCCTTATAAATCCTCCTCCCCCTGTGGCCAAACCCCTTTGGTTCCCCCTCCCCCCCCCCTCCCCCCAGCTTGCGAACAGTGGCTGTAGAGTTATGATTAAAGCTTAGAGAGCCTGACACTATTTCCTGTTCTCCTATGCAAGTGCTAATTCAGGTTCCTGGGGTTGTCACGGTCGGGTGCCAACACTTCAACCAGTGCCAACACTTAGCCCCTTATCTAGTCCAGCAGCTATTGATAGCAGGTGATGTTTTTGACTGGAATTTCCAGCGTTATCAACGGGGTTTCTAAACAAGGTAACCGTCGGAGACGCTAAACATGTTGGGCTATCTTGACGCCTCGTTGCTCTATCATGCAGGCCGGCGGAGTTTGCAACTTGATTAAACCGGTTAGTTGGTTAGTGGCGTCCCCATCCTGCAGTGTTGCTCTTGTAAAACCATGCAACACATGAGGGATCTTACCATGCAACACATGAGGGATCTAACCATGCAACACCTGAGGGATCTAACCATGCAACACATGAGGGATCTAACCATGCAACACATGAGGGATCTAACCATGCAACACCTGAGGGATCTAACCATGCAACACATGAGGGATCTAACCATGCAACACCTGAGGGATCTAACCACGCAACACATGAGGGATCTTACCATGCAACACCTGAGGGATCTTACCATGCAACACATGAGGGATCTTACCATGCAACACATGAGGGATCTTACCATGCAACACATGAGGGATCTAACCATGCAACACATGAGGGATCTTACCATGCAACACATGAGGGATCTTACCATGCAACACATGAGGGATCTTACCATGCAACACATGAGGGATCTAACCATGCAACACCTGAGGGATCTAACCATGCAACACATGAGGGATCTTACCATGCAACACATGAGGGATCTTACCATGCAACACATGAGGGATCTTACCATGCAACACATGAGGGATCTTACCATGCAACACATGAGGGATCTTACCATGCAACACATGAGGGATCTAACCATGCAACACCTGAGGGATCTAACCATGCAACACATGAGGGATCTAACCATGCAACACCTGAGGGATCTAACCACGCAACACATGAGGGATCTTACCATGCAACACATGAGGGATCTAACCATGCAACACCTGAGGGATCTTACCATGCAACACCTGAGGGATCTAACCATGCAACACATGAGGGATCTAACCATGCAACACCTGAGGGATCTAACCACGCAACACATGAGGGATCTTACCATGCAACACATGAGGGATCTTACCATGCAACACATGAGGGGTCTTACCATGCAACACATGAGGGATCTTACCACGCAACACATGAGGGATCTAACCATGCAACACCTGAGGGATCTTACCATGCAACACATGAGGGATCTTACCATGCAACACCTGAGGGATCTTACCATGCAACACATGAGGGATCTTACCACGCAACACATGAGGGATCTTACCATGCAACACATGAGGGATCTAACCATGCAACACATGAGGGATCTTACCATGCAACACCTGAGGGATCTTACCATGCAACACATGAGGGGTCTTACCATGCAACACATGAGGGGTCTTACCATGCAACACATGAGGGATCTAACCATGCAACACATGAGGGATCTTACCATGCAACACCTGAGGGATCTTACCACGCAACACCTGAGGGATCTTACCATGCAACACATGAGGGGTCTAACCATGCAACACATGAGGGATCTTACCATGCAACACATGAGGGGTCTTACCATGCAACACCTGAGGGATCTTACCATGCAACACATGAGGGATCTTACCATGCAACACATGAGGGGTCTTACCATGCAACACATGAGGGATCTTACCATGCAACACATGAGGGATCTTACCATGCAACACCTGAGGGGTCTAACCATGCAACACATGAGGGATCTTACCATGCAACACATGAGGGATCTTACCATGCAACACATGAGGGATCTTACCATGCAACACATGAGGGATCTTACCATGCAACACCTGAGGGATCTAACCATGCAACACATGAGGGATCTTACCATGCAACACATGAGGGATCTTACCATGCAACACATGAGGGATCTTACCATGCAACACCTGAGGGGTCTAACCATGCAACACATGAGGGATCTTACCATGCAACACATGAGGGGTCTTACCATGCAACACCTGAGGGATCTTACCATGCAACACATGAGGGATCTTACCATGCAACACATGAGGGGTCTTACCATGCAACACATGAGGGATCTTACCATGCAACACATGAGGGATCTTACCATGCAACACCTGAGGGATCTTACCATGCAACACATGAGGGATCTTACCATGCAACACCTGAGGGATCTAACCATGCAACACATGAGGGATCTTACCATGCAACACATGAGGGATCTTACCATGCAACACATGAGGGATCTTACCATGCAACACATGAGGGATCTTACCATGCAACACATGAGGGATCTTACCATGCAACACATGAGGGATCTTACCATGCAACACCTGAGGGATCTTACCATGCAACACATGAGGGATCTTACCATGCAACACCTGAGGGATCTTACCATGCAACACCTGAGGGATCTTACCATGCAACACATGAGGGATCTAACCATGCAACACATGAGGGATCTTACCATGCAACACATGAGGGAGCTTACCATGCAACACATGAGGGATCTAACCACGCAACACATGAGGGTCTAACCATGCAACACATGAGGGAGCTTACCATGCAACACATGAGGGATCTAACCACGCAACACATGAGGGAGCTTACCATGCAACACATGAGGGAGCTTACCATGCAACACATGAGGGAGCTTACCATGCAACACATGAGGGAGCTTACCATGCAACACCTGAGGGGTCTTACCATGCAACACATGAGGGATCTAACCCTGCAACACATGAGGGATCTAACCATGCAACACCTGAGGGATCTTCACTTTTGCACACCTGCAGGGTGTGTGTACAAGAGGACTGAAACTCCAGGTGTTAGCGACTGTGCAAGAGGACTGAAACTTCAGGTGTTAGCGACTGTACAAGAGGACTGAAACTCCAGGTGTTAGCGACTGTGCAAGAGGACTGAAACTCCAGGTGTTAGAGACTGTGCAAGAGGACTGAAACTCCAGGTGTTAGCGACTGTACAAGAGGACTGAAACTCCAGGTGTTAGAGACTGTGCAAGAGGACTGAAACTCCAGGTGTTAGTGACTGTGCAAGAGGACTGAAACTCCAGGTGTTAGCGACTGTGCAAGAGGACTGAAACTCCAGGTGTTAGCGACTGTACAAGAGGACTGAAACTCCAGGTGTTAGAGACCGTCCAGTGTGGATCTGTCTGCCTTTTCTGCTCCAAGGTTTGAGTGCCAATTGAAGAAACTTCACCAGGAGCAGTTAAGACATGGTTGTAGAGGCATGATCTTGAACAAGAGGCGCTCTAGTGCCAGCTGGCTAACAAGGACGTCTTAGAATACCTTGACTATGTCAGAAACTCAGACAAATTGGTCCGGAGTCAAATCCACTGTTTAGACAGGCGGGGGCCAGGAGCTAACAGCACAATCCTGCAGGCACAGGTCGTAAATAGATATAGTACAAGTAATATAGACACAGACATTCACAGATGTGTATATATTCACCTAGTTGTGCTTGCGGGGGTTGAGCTCTGGCTCTGTGGTCCCGCCTCTCAACCGTCAGTCAACAGGTACCTGGTTGATACCTGGTTGATGGGGTTCTGGGAGTTCTTCTACTCCCCAAGCCCGGCCCGAGGCCAGGCTCGACTTGTGAGAGTTTGGTCCACCAGGCTGTTGCTTGGAGCGGCCCGCAGGGCCACGTACCCACCACAGCCCGGCTGATCCGGAACTTCTCTTAGAAAACCGTCCAGTTTTCTCTTGAAGATGTCCACGGTTGTTCCGGCAATATTTCTTATGCTCGCTGGGAGGACGTTGAACAACCGCGGACCTCTGATGTTTATACAGTGTTCTCTGATTGTGCCTATGGCACCTCTGCTCTTCACAGGTTCAATCTTGCATTTTCTTCCATATCGTTCACTCCAGTACGTTGTTATTTTACTGTGTAGATTTGGGACCTGACCCTCCAGTATTTTCCAGGTGTACAGGTTCCTGAGCCTATTGGGCTCTATCATATCTACACTTGAAGCTGTGTATGGAGTCAGCCTCCACTCCACTGTGTGTGTGTGTGTGTACTCACCTAGTACACACACACTAAGCTTGTGTGTGTACTAAGCTTGCGGGGGTTGAGCTCTGGCTCTGTGGTCCCGCCTCTCAACTGTCAATCAACTAAGGGGTGTGTGTAGTGTGTGGCCGTTGTACTCAACAATTACAGTAATGCCAGGTTACAAAATACAGACCAAAGTAATTACTGAGAAAGTTAAAAAGAGGCAAAGAGACTCTTCAGGAAAGTTTGTGAATGTCTCTTGTGGTGATTAGGTGATTAACCTTAAAGGTCGTCCTTCCCACCATCCCCCAACCCCCACCCCAACCCCCACCCCAACCCCCACCCCAACCCCCACCCCAACCCCCACCCCAACCCCCACCCCAACCCCCACCCCAGACCCACGAGTTAAGGATGTATGAGATGTATTCACCTAGTTGAGCTTGCGGGGGTTGAGCTCTGGCTCTTTGGTCCCGCCTCTCAACTGTCAATCAACAGGTGTACAGGTTCCTGAGCCTATTGGGCTCTATCATATCTACACTTGAAGCTGTGTATGGAGTCAGCCTCCACCAGTCTGTGTGTGTGTGTTTGTGTGTGTACTCACTTGCGGGGGTTGAGCTCTGGCTCTTTGGTCCCGCCTCTCAACCATCAATCAACAGGTGTACAGGTTCCTGAGCCTATTGGGCTCTATCATATCTACACTTGAAGCTGTGTATGGAGTCAGCCTCCACCACATCACTGCCTAATGCATTCCATTTGTTAACTAACTTGCCACTGAAAAAATCTTTCTAACAAATCCTCACTTGGGTACTAAGTTTCCACGTGTGTCTCCTTCAACCTGTGTTAGGCTTCAATTATATAACTTACTGGAGACATGGACATACATGAACTAGTAATTATAAGAGAAAAATGTAAGGCAATGAAAAGTGCTTAATTTTAATGATCGGTGACGAATGTGTATATAAAAACTTGACTATTGAATATAAATAAATCAATAATTACTAACATCACTGCTAATATAAATTTTCCTTGTGCTAATTGTGTTTATTTTCGTATCGTATTTATACTTAGTGACGCTATCTGACAACTCTGAACTACAGAATGTCCTAGTTGGCATCCCCTGTGAGTGCGAACGTTCGGATATTTCGTCAGTCACATCCGAACTGTGTTCGGATGTGGCCGCTGCTCTAATCAGCTCCCACATGTACTATAAATCCTCACCTGTTCCAAAGTAAACCTCTAAGGTACTATACATTCACTGTTGACTAAGTCCTGATGCTCTTCAAGTCCTCGGATGATTTTGAACCTTATGTAATACATGTACCATAGAGGAGTATCTTTTGGATATCATTATATAACCCTCTTATCCATGTTCTTGGATAACAAGATGGATTAAGATTAAGATAACAAGATTAAGCAATAAGATGCTTATCTTAACATACTAAGAAGGTTAGGTTAGGTCGGTGTTTTCTATGAAGCTTTTCAATTTAAACTAAAATATTCACAATCAATTAGTATGTCACATATGCACTTATTAAATAAGCCAATATTGACTGTCATATTCAGACTCAGTGTTGACACCACTGAATCTGAATTGGCTGTTAACTATTGGACAAACACAGTCAGATACACTTGATACCTGGTATCATTTTTGGAGGAAATATGACTTATCAAGTCCTCTCAGCCCATAAGTACCTCGGAAGCATGTACCGGCTAGGAAAGGTCTGATTTCCAAGGAACCAAAAATGGATATACTGGGAGTCGGTACTGGTTAATTAGACTGTTTCTTCTGGCAGGGAGATTAAGGGGGCTGTACTAACTGGTATGGGGGTTAAATTAACGAGTAATTAGGGGGGAATGGTGCTATGTTAGCGAGAGAAACTGTGCTAGCTAGAAGAAGCAGACTCTGCCCCTTCTAGCAGACTGCTAGATGGAGCAGACTCCTGCTGTCTAGCAGACTCCTGCTGTCTAGCAGACTCCTGCTGTCTAGCACCAGCAGACTCCTGCTGTCTTACACCAGCAGACTCCTGCTGTCTAGCACCAGCAGACTCCTGCTGTCTTACACCAGCAGACTCCTGCTGTCTAGCACCAGCAGACTCCTGCTGTCCAACACCAGCAGACTCCTGCTGTCTTACACCAGCAGACTCCTGCTGTCTAGCACCAGCAGACTCCTGCTGTCCAACACCAGCAGACTCCTGCTGTCTTACACCAGCAGACTCCTGCTGTCTAGCACCAGCAGACTCCTGCTGTCCAACATCAGCAGACTCCTGCTGTCTTACACCAGCAGACTCCTGCTGTCTAGCACCAGCAGACTCCTGCTGTCCAACACCAGCAGACTCCTGCTGTCTTACACCAGCAGACTCCTGCTGTCTAGCACCAGCAGACTCCTGCTGTCCAACACCAGCAGACTCCTGCTGTCTTACACCAGCAGACTCCTGCTGTCTAGCAGACTCCTGCTGTCCAACACCAGCAGACTCCTGCTGTCCAACACCAGCAGACTCCTGCTGTCTTACACCAGCAGACTCCTGCTGTCCAACACCAGCAGACTCCTGCTGTCTAGCAGACTCCTGATGTCCAACACCAGCAGACTCCTGCTGTCCAACACCAGCAGACTCCTGCTGTCTTACACCAGCAGACTCCTGCTGTCTAGCAGACTCCTGCTGTCCAACACCAGCAGACTCCTGCTGTCTTACACCAGCAGACTCCTGCTGTCCAACACCAGCAGACTCCTGCTGTCCAACACCAGCAGACTCCTGCTGTCTTACACCAGCAGACTCCTGCTGTCCAACACCAGCAGACTCCTGCTGTCCAACACCAGCAGACTCCTGCTGTCCAACACCAGCAGACTCCTGCTGTCTAGCAGACTCCTGCTGTCTAGCAGACTCCTGCTGTCTAGCACCAGCAGACTCCTGCTGTCCAACACCAGCAGACTCCTGCTGTCTAGCAGACTCCTGCTGTCTAGCAGACTCCTGCTGTCTAGCACCAGCAGACTCCTGCTGTCTTAAACCAGCAGACTCCTGCTGTCTAACACCAGCAGACTCCTGCTGTCCAACACCAGCAGACTCCTGCTGTCTAGCAGACTCCTGCTGTCTAGCACCAGCAGACTCCTGCTGTCTTAAACCAGCAGACTCCTGCTGTCTAACACCAGCAGACTCCTGCTGTCTAGCAGACTCCTGCTGTCCAACACCAGCAGACTCCTGCTGTCTTACACCAGCAGACTCCTGCTGTCCAACACCAGCAGACTCCTGCTGTCTTACACCAGCAGACTCCTGCTGTCTAGCACCAGCAGACTCCTGCTGTCAAGCACCAGCAGACTCCTGCTGTCTTACACCAGCAGACTCCTGCTGTCTTACACCAGCAGACTCCTGCTGTCTTACACCAGCAGACTCCTGCTGTCTTACACCAGCAGACTCCTGCTGTCCAACACCAGCAGACTCCTGCTGTCTTACACCAACAGACTCCTGCTGTCTAGCAGACTCCTGCTGTCTAGCACCAGCAGACTCCTGCTGTCTTACACCAGCAGACTCCTGCTGTCTTACACCAGCAGACTCCTGCTGTCCAACACCAGCAGACTCCTGCTGTCTTACACCAGCAGACTCCTGCTGTCTTACACCAGCAGACTCCTGCTGTCCAACACCAGCAGACTCCTGCTGTCTTACACCAGCAGACTCCTGCTGTCTTACACCAGCAGACTCCTGCTGTCATACACCAGCAGACTCCTGCTGTCTTACACCAGCAGACTCCTGCTGTCCAACACCAGCAGACTCCTGCTGTCTTACACCAGCAGACTCCTGCTGTCCAACACCAGCAGACTCCTGCTGTCTTACACCAGCAGACTCCTGCTGTCTTACACCAGCAGACTCCTGCTGTTCAACACCAGCAGACTCCTGCTGTCTTACACCAGCAGACTACTGCTGTCTTACACCAGCAGACTCCTGCTGTCTTACACCAGCAGACTCCTGCTGTCTTACACCAGCAGACTCCTGCTGTCCAACACCAGCAGACTCCTGCTGTCTTACACCAGCAGACTCCTGCTGTCTTACACCAGCAGACTCCTGCTGTCCAACACTAGCAGACTCCTGCTGTCTTACACCAGCAGACTCCTGCTGTCCAACACCAGCAGACTCCTGCTGTCATACACCAGCAGACTCCTGCTGTCCAACACCAGCAGACTCCTGCTGTCTTACACCAGCAGACTCCTGCTGTCTTACACCAGCAGACTCCTGCTGTTCAACACCAGCAGACTCCTGCTGTCCAACACCAGCAGACTCCTGCTGTCCAACACCATGTTGTTCGTCGTCTGCTTCTCTAGCCGGCAGCCAATTGATTTTTCTGCTGGAGAGGAGGAGAGAGAACCAGGGGCCCCCTGGAATGTCTATCGAGGCATCTTGGGGGGTCATGCTGTCACTTCTATCTATCTATCAGGCCCTTGATAACATCTACAATCATTACATGGGAACCAGGGGCCCCCCAGGAATGTCTATCGAGGCATCTTGGGGGTCCTGCTGTCACTTCTATCTATCTATCAGGCCCTTGATAACATCTACAATCATTACATGTTGATGTAAACACACTATTTACGTGACATAACATACCGCAGTGATCTTAGCCCTCGACAGAGACAGGTTCAAAGAACCGGTTATCTTACAGTTTTAGATAAAAATCCCCCCCCCCCCCCCGTCTCCAAAGATATCATTAGTGACTTTCCAGTGAATGCTAGGGGTCCTGCGAGAATTAATCAAGTCTTTAATGAGACCGGAAATGAGAAAGAGGTTCTCAAATTCAATCTCATTCTTCTTTCAGGGTCTTTGGAGACGAGCTGTTGATCCGAGGGATGCTGACAGCATCTCTCTCTCTCTCCGAGAGCTCTTGAAGGGCTCAGCATAACCATATTTGTGTTTGGAAGCAATAAAAAAGAGAATTATGCTGCTGCTGTTCACTATCTCAGTAAATGTTGAATTTAATATAGATTCTGGTGGTATATCAGTGTATATCAGGCTCCCTCTCCCTCTATACTGTATAGAGAGAGGCTCATTCTCCCTCTATACTGTATAGAGAGAGGCTCATTCTCCCTCTATACTGTATAGAGAGAGGCTCCCTCTCCCTCTATACTGTATAGAGAGAGGCTCATTCTCCCTCTATACTGTATAGAGAGAGGCTCATTCTCCCACTATACTGTATAGAGAGAGGCTCATTCTCCCTCTATACTATGTAGAGAGAGGCTCATTCTCCCACTATACTATGTAGAGAGAGGCTCATTCTCCCTCTATACTATGTAGAGAGAGAGGCTCATTCTCCCACTATACTATGTAGAGAGAGGCTCATTCTCCCTCTATACTATGTAGAGAGAGGCTCATTCTCCCACTATACTGTATAGAGAGAGGCTCATTCTCCCTCTATACTGTATAGAGAGAGGCTCATTCTCCCACTATACTGTATAGAGAGAGGCTCATTCTCCCTCTATACTATGTAGAGAGAGGCTCATTCTCCCTCTATACTGTATAGAGAGAGGCTCCCTCTCCCTCTATACTGTATAGAGAGAGGCTCATTCTCCCTCTATACTATGTAGAGAGAGGCTCATTCTCCCACTATACTATGTAGAGAGAGGCTCATTCTCCCTCTATACTATGTAGAGAGAGGCTCATTCTCCCTCTATACTATATAGAGAGAGGCTCATTCTCCCTCTATACTATATAGAGAGAGGCTCATTCTCCCTCTATACTATGTAGAGAGAGGCTCATTCTCCCTCTATACTATATAGAGAGAGGCTCATTCTCCCTCTATACTATGTAGAGAGAGGCTCATTCTCCCTCTATACTATGTAGAGAGAGGCTCATTCTCCCACTATACTATGTAGAGAGAGGCTCATTCTCCCTCTATACTATGTAGAGAGAGGCTCATTCTCCCTCTATACTATATAGAGAGAGGCTCATTCTCCCTCTATACTTTATAGAGAGAGGCTCATTCTCCCTCTATACTTTATAGAGAGAGGCTCATTCTCCCTCTATACTTTATAGAGAGAGGCTCATTCTCCCTCTATACTATATATAGAGAGGCTCATTCTCCCTCTATACTGTATAGAGAGAGGCTCATTCTCCCTCTATACTGTATAGAGAGAGGCTCATTCTCCCTCTATACTATATATAGAGAGGCTCATTCTCCCTCTATACTGTATAGAGAGAGGCTCATTCTCCCTCTATACTATGTAGAGAGAGGCTCATTCTCCCTCTATACTGTATAGAGAGAGGCTCATTCTCCCTCTATACTATATAGAGAGAGGCTCATTCTCCCTCTATACTATATAGAGAGAGGCTCATTCTCCCTCTATACTATGTAGAGAGAGGCTCATTCTCCCTCTATACTATATAGAGAGAGGCTCATTCTCCCTCTATACTATGTAGAGAGAGGCTCATTCTCCCTCTATACTATGTAGAGAGAGGCTCATTCTCCCTCTATACTATATATAGAGATGCTCATTCTCCCTCTATACTGTATAGAGAGAGGCTCATTCTCCCTCTATACTGTATAGAGAGAGGCTCATTCTCCCTCTATACTGTATAGAGAGAGGCTCATTCTCCCTCTATACTGTATAGAGAGAGGTTCATTCTCCCTCTATACTGTATAGAGAGAGGCTCCCTCTATACTGTATAGAGAGAGGCTCCCTCTATACTGTATAGAGAGAGGCTCCCTCTATACTGTATAGAGAGAGGCTCCCTCTATACTGTATAGAGAGAGGCTCCCTCTATACTGTATATAGAGAGGCTCCCTCAATACTGTATAGAGAGAGGCTCATTCTCCCTCTATACTGTATAGAGAGAGGCTCATTCTCCCTCTATACTGTATAGAGAGAGGCTCATTCTCCCTCTATACTGTATAGAGAGAGGCTCATTCTCCCTCTATACTATATAGAGAGAGGCTCATTCTCCCTCTATGCTATGTAGAGAGAGGCTCATTCTCCCTTTATACTATGTAGAGAGAGGCTCATTCTCCCTCTATACTTTATAGAGAGAGGCTCATTCTCCCTCTATACTGTATAGAGAGAGGCTCATTCTCCCTTTATACTATGTAGAGAGAGGCTCATTCTCCCACTATACTATGTAGAGAGAGGCTCATTCTCCCTCTATACTTTATAGAGAGAGGCTCATTCTCCCTCTATACTTTATACAAGTATACTTGCGCCTGCAGGATTATACATATCATACATAGACTATTGCATTCTGGAACACGCATACATCGCACTACTGTCTGCCTTAGGACTCCTGGTGGGTTTAGTAATGCCCCAGATTTCAATTCTTTTAACCATGTCGTGGTCTAGTCGGCTAGGGCGTGTGCCTGGGAATACCCAACCCGTAAGTTCGAATCGTCGCCACGGCTCCTACAGATTTTCTCACGATTAATTATTAAAAAAAACCTGGTGTTGACAGAGGTTTTAAATTCGATTTATATGTGGATATATCAAAGTGATTTTATGTGTTTTAATTACAGTAAACAGTAAATTAAGGGGAATAAAGTATGATAAAAAAAATCTGAGGATATTTTCTTTTTGTTAATATAATTTTTTTTATCTTTTCAGGTAATGTATAAAGTTTATCATCAACTCCGCGAGATAAGGTAGGTGATATAGTATATTTATATATATGTATATATTATATGTATAAATATATATTTTTTCAAATAAAATATATAGGGGTACCACCTCTGGTTCCGTTTGTAGGGACCCTGGACCTCGAAGAAGACGATATGTAGCATCCGGGGAGCCTTGTGTGGCTATATATATATATATATATATATATATATATATATATATATATATATATATATATATATATATATATATATATATATATATATTCCCTCCAATGCGTTATGTGTGGTTTCCTCCGAGGCTATGGGTCCCCCTTCTTCCAGCCAGAGGTGGTACTCAAAAAAAAAAAATATATATATATATATATATATATATATATATACATATATATATATATATATATATATATATATATATATATATAGATATATATATATGTGTGTGTGTGTGTGTGTGTGTCACGAAAAATAAACACGTGATTAAAGAATGTGACAGTGTCAGACCACGGAGGAAAATTGAAACAGGAATTTCCTTAAGTACTTTCGTATATTAATACTCCTTCTGTGCAGAAATGCCACAAGGGAGAGTTATGAGTTGAAAAATCCACACATAAATATACTTAAAGGAATCTTGTGAGTCCTTACGTCTTCAGTCTGTGTATGACAAGGCCTTGTTCGTCCTCAACACCTACACATCTCCTTTAAGTATTGTCTAACTACTTCTGATATCTTAGAAGGCAAGATGTAACTTTCAGACAACCCTATTTACTCCCATTACTCTCCATTACTCAGTTCTGACTTTTTAATCACTCTTCATACTCCTCCTATTTCACCCCAATACCCAATTTGGATCATTAGTTGTGCATCTTATTCTAAATATCAGCTTTCGTGGGGGTAATAGCTTTCTTAACAAGCAGTTTAATAGTTCATTAAGCAACTATGGCCACTCTGTGGATGGTCTTAGAGGCGTCATGCAATACAGCTGTATCATCAATGATTTAGGATACAGTTTCCGTGGCCAAAATACAGCAATAGGTAGTGAAGAAGTGTTCATTTATACTACACACAAGATCAAAGATTTTAAACATTCCCGGGAGACTATATGCCCCTGTTACCTAGCAGTAAAATAGGTACCTGGGTGTTAGTCAGCTGTCACGGGCTGCTTCCTGGGGGTGGAGGCCTGGTCGAGGACCGGGCCGCGGGGACACTAAAGCCCCGAAATCATCTCAAGATAACCTCAAGATAGATAACCTCCTAACTAATTCACTGGCTGTCTTAAACTTCTGTATTAGTGCCATACTTGTAACTCTTCCTCCTATAAATGAACAAAATCCACAAGGGCCGTGATGAGGGTTCGAACCTATGTCTGAGAGGATCCCAAACGCTGCCTTAATCAACTGTGCCGCGACACAGTCAAAAGAATTGCAACCGGGAGTTCCCTCCGACGTGTATATAAATAACGGGTTTATTCCCAGGCGATAATATTACCCTATATTGAGAAAGAAAATCCACTTGGGCTGTTAGGTGGGCTCGAACCCACGACCATGGTATTGCGAAGCCGCATACTCTATCTGATCACCGCGTACTTCGTAGAGTCAAGTTATAGTGATTTATGTGTTTTGTCCATATTGACAGCAATATCTCCTGTTCTCGGATAACAGTCCTTTCGCCTGTTTCCTTTCTAGTATAGAGAGGCTTTAGCATAGAGAGCCTCTACCATAGAGAGCCTCTAGCATAGAGAGCCACTAGCATACAGAGCCACTAACATAGAGAGCCTCTAGCATAGAGAGCCACTAGCATACAGAGCCACTAACATAGAGAGCCGCTCTGTACGTCTAACCTCTTGTCCACGACAATGAAAACTCTTATTATTTTGGTCCACTTCTTATTGATATATTCGGGCGAAGATCAGCCTGCGTACTGGTCGCTGCCTCTAAGAAAAATGATATATTGAAAGTTTTCACGAAACATGTAATTGGGCTCGTTGAAGTTTCCCAAAGGCTCTTGTCTCTCGTAATACTCACTGAAGAGTTCCTAAGACGACTTCGAAGGAAAAGAGAGGCAGCGAACAACCACTAGAGGGGTGGAAGAGAAGAGAGTGGGCGGGCCAGCAAAACAGTGGCCGGTCCAGCAAAAGAGTGGGCGGTCCAGCAAAAGAGTGGGCGGTCCAGCAAAAGAGTGGGCGTTATTAACTCTTGTATCATTAACTCACTTCATCAATCAGTCAATTTGTAATCTTACCACTTATGGGGCTACTCATGCCCGTGCAACCTCTTGCCTGGCTTAATCTTCATCAATCTTTGCAACCAGATTGAGCCGGTCGGCCGAGCGGACAGCACGCTGGACTTGTGATCCTGTGGTCCTGGGTTCGATCCCAGGCACCGGCGAGAAACAATGGGCAGAGTTTCTTTCACCCTATGTCCCTGTTACCTAGCAGTAAAATAGGTACCTGGGTGTTAGTCAGCTGTCACGGGCTGCTTCCTGGGGGTGGAGTCCAGGTCGAGGACCGGGCCGCGGGGACACTAAAGCCCCGAAATCATCTCAAGATCTCCAATATAGTTACACCATCTGCCTTCCCACTCTCACCTGATATTATAACCACTCTGTAATGTTCTAAAAGCTTTCTCTCCATTGGCCAAAGTTCGTAGACATCTTTCAAGATCTTCCTCCATCGTGGCAATCAGGTCTCCAATCAGCAGTTTTTCTTCATTAGAGTCTTTCAAGTAATTACCTGTCTAGAGGCAAGCTTGGAGTTGCTCTTCAAGACCGGTTCTCCCATTCTTCGAACCCTGGTTCACCGAAGGAATGTTGGACAGGAATATTTTTTCTCTTCGAAAACTCTTCAAGAGATGGTATATTGTCTTATCTTGAGGTTATCTTGAGATGATTTCGGGGTTTTTTAGTGTCCCCGCGGCCCGGTCCTCGACCAGGCCTCCACCCCCAGGAAGCAGCCCGTGACAGCTGACTAACTCCCAGGTACCTATTTACTGCTAGGTAACAGGGGCATTCAGGGTGAAAGAAACTCTGCCCATTTGTTTCTGCCTCGTGCGGGAATCGAACCCGCGCCACAGAATTACGAGTCCTGCGCGCTATCCACCAGGCTACGAGGCCCCTTACATAACTTTTATTTACGTATTACGTTACGTACGTTACGTACGGAGACATTACATAAATTGTGTAAAATCCTGGTTTGTGCCTCGGAGAGGCTACGGGATCCAGTAAGTTCAGTAGAACTTGGGTTTCAACCCTTTTAACCCTGTCGTAGCTCAGTCGATTAAGGCAGTGTCTGGGATGCTCCCAGACGTAACCTAGAATAAACGTTAATTTACGTTGCATAAACGTTAATTTAACGTTAAATAAACGTTAATTTTACAGTGAATCAACGTAAATCAAGCATTACGCGAGCGTGTTTAGCGCATCGGGATGAGCACTCGTGACGTCTAATAAACGTAGCTTTAACGTTAATCAAAGATAACTCCACTTTTGTATCGTTAACCCACAACCTCCAACTGAAAGAACCTTCCCTGGAAACACAAACCGAAACTATTTTCCGCTTGTTACAACTTGTAATAAAGTTGTTACATCTTGGCTTAACGTGTTTATGACGTATTAGAACGTTGTTACAACTTGCTATATTGGTTGTTATAACTGGTTAGGAGGTGTTAAAAGTTGTTCGAACGTTGTACCAACGTCGTAGTTTCGGTGTGTGTTTGGCGGGTTCCTACCGGATGAAGTGGGAAGGTTCACTTCCCGCTTCACATGAAAATGGGAAGATTCACTTCCCGCTTCACATGAAAATGGGAAGATTCACTTCCCGCTTCACATGATAATGGGAAGATTCACTTCCCGCTTCACATGAAAATGGGAAGATTCACTTCCCGCTTCACATGAAAATGGGAAGATTCACTTCCCGCTTAACATGAAAGTGGGAAGGTTCACTTCCCGCTTCACGTGAAGTGGGAAGGTTCACTTCCCGCTTCACGTGAAAGTGGGAAGGTTCACTTCCCGCTTCACGTGAAAGTGGGAAGGTTCACTTCCCACTTCACATGAAAGTGGGAAGGTTCACTTCCCGCTTCACGTGAAAGTGGGAAGGTTCACTTCCCGCTTCACGTGAAAGTGGGAAGGTTCACTTCCCGCTTCACGTGAAAGTGGGAAGGTTCACTTCCCGCTTCACATGAAAGTGGGAAGGTTCACTTCCCGCTTCACATGAAAGTGGGAAGGTTCACTTCCCGCTTCACGTGAAAAGTGGGAAGGTTCACTTCCCGCTTAACATGAAAGTGGGAAGGTTCACTTCCCGCTTCACATGAAAGTGGGAAGGTTCACTTCCCGCTTCACATGAAAGTGGGAAGGTTCACTTCCCGCTTCACGTGAAAATGGGAAGGTTCACTTCCCGCTTCACATGAAAGAGGGAAAGGTGTCATTAACGATCTTCCCACCGTTATCTACGTTACAGCCACGTTACCAAACTTTCCAATAGTATCGCGATAGAGGGCAAGTACTTTCCCGAACCTTCGTTAGCTGTAAGCTGATTACATTTGCATACATATCACAAAACCTTAACTCACTGATGTCTAATTAACCCGAATGACGTTGATTAGTAGACCTTACTAATAGACCTGGTACGGGGATTTTAACACCAGAGGGAGGTTACCTACCTTGAGGTTACCTTGAGGTTACCTTGAGGTGCTTCCGGGGCTTAGCATCCCCGCGGCCCGGTCGTCGACCAGGCCTCCTGGTCTGGGAGAAGGTATTCTGAAACAGGAAGTTTGTAAGCGAAGGCTTTCAACAGGAGTTAATGATTCGCTGGCTGTAGGGGTTATAACACGTCTGAAGAATCTTGAGAATGGTCACACAATCGACTTGAGAATGGTCCAGGATGGACCGAAACGTCGTCGTCCCTTCACCTTCTAGTGTGTGGTCTGGTCAACATACTTCAGCCACGTTATTGTGACTCATCGTCTGCATTCACGTCTGAACTTTTGAAAACTGTTCAACATTGTTATCCAGATATATATATATATATATATATATATATATATATATATATATATATATATATATATATATATATATATATATATATATATATATATATATATATATATATATAAGCATCAAGAGGAAGTATGGGCCAACAGGCCCTTTTTAGTTACTTACATTCTTATACTCTCATATATCCAATTAATAACACACATACACATGTATTGAAATGTGGTGGAGGCTGACGCCATACACAGTTTCAAGTGTAGATATGACAGAGCCCAATAGGCTCAGGAACCTGTACACCAGTTGATTGACGGTTGAGAGGCGGGACCAAAGAGCCAGAGCTCAACCCCCGCAAGCACAAATAGGTGAGTACACACACACACCCCCCCCACACACACACACACCCCACACACACACACACACCCACACACCCACCCCCACCCCACCCACACCCACACAACCTCGTTAACCAAACACTCAGTTTTCCACCTGATGAATGGTCACTTAAGAATCCTACCCCCCTCATCCTGCACGCATTGCCTCGTATCACAGAAAAATCCACAACTGACAAAGCCCCCACTAATGCCATACCTCTAATTACTAAACTACAGAGCCGGGGTCACGTATAGCCTTAACTACCGTCCATTTAAAAGCGAATAATCAGGAGTGTTCATTTCAGAGCGACCTCTGTTTCTGTAATGTTAATGAGGGCGTTTAATTATTTACCTGAAAAAATATGCAAATTACACACAAAGGATTCATATATGTCACCACTTTTGTTATCATAATACGGTCTGGCGAGGGTGTTATCATATTGGAGGCCAACAAGGCTGTTATCATAATACTGTCTGGCGTGGGTGTTATCATATTGGAGGCCAACAAGGCTGTTATCATAATAGAGTCCAACAAGTGTGCTATCATAATAGAGGCCAACAAGGGTGTTATCATAATACAGGCCAACAAGTGTGTTATCATAAAGGAGTCCAGCAAGTGTGTTATCATAATAGAGTCCAGCAAGTATGCTATCATAATAGAGGCCAACAAGTGTGTTATCATAATAGAGTCCAGCAAGTATGCTATCATAATAGAGTCCAACAAGTGTGCTATCATAATAGAGGCCAACAAGGGTGTTATCATAATACAGGCCAACAAGTGTGTTATCATAAAGGAGTCCAGCAAGTGTGTTATCATAATAGAGTCCAGCAAGTATGCTATCATAATAGAGGCCAACAAGTGTGTTATCATAACAATCCAACAAGGGTGTTATCACACCTATTCAGTAATTTTCACACGAAGATATCAGTGTACCTAAATGTACTTGTGCTTTAAATAAACTGTAATTCCCTGATTACAAATTCCTTTGGATGGCTTCAAATGGCTTCGAAGGGCTTCCCTCGATCCAGCGGACACCTGTTTAAGGAGGACATAGCACAACAGGAATCCCACTTGTATATTGTACTCAGATTTAAAATTTGCTGTTTCTATTAGTTGTCCAGTCCTGGTAAGGCTGAGCCATCATATGCAAATTAGTGGCCTTGCGTTTAACTGCCTTCCTCATAAACAAGGTCAAAATGCTCGTTAACACAGCCGTAAAGGCCCTCGTTTGTGAAATAAAAAAAAACATTATCCATGACTCTCTACTGATGTTCTAACTTTGCCCAAACGGTTTCGTTCACGTCCTCTGTTCAACGTTCACCTCTTTTTTTTTTTTGCTTCATCCACGTACAACAAATATATATAATTGTTAGCAGAGTCATAACAGCTAAACTAACCAGAGCTAGACTTAACTATCCACCAAATTCGAATATATATATTAATTTATAATTGAGAAAACCCCAATTTTGATAATAAAAACCATTACAAATTTATGCAAGTCTTTGGGGTTGGCCACAAATTGGACAGGCTTACCCAAATTATAGGTAATTATAAGATTTCGGGGCTTTAGTGTCCCCGCGGCCCGGTCCTCGACCAGGCCTCCACCCCCAGGAAGCAGCCCGTGACAGCTGATTAACACCCAGGTAGCTATTTTACTGCTAGGTAACAGGGGTAACATAGGGTGAAAGAAACTCTGCCCATTGTTTCTCGCCGGCGCCTGGGATCCAATCCAGGACCACAGGATTACGTGCCCAGCGTGCTGTCCGCTCGGCCGACCGGCTCCAACTGTGTCAAAGGTCATAGCCTATGAATCACAAGTAAATTTTTCATCCATGTATTGCCGATACAATTATCAACTAACCCTAATCACCTAACCAGACCTATCCTAGGTCTACACACAAAAAGATAATATAATTAAATAATTTATTACATTTTGAGAAAACACCTTTAAAGATAACAGAATTAATTTTTTAATTAATTAATTATTTTTTTAATTAATTAATTAATTTTTTAATTAATTAATTAATTTTTTATTTAATTAATTAATTATTTTTTTAATTAAGAAATACTGCTTTAAAGTCGTCCACAGCTTGGAGAACACAGTTTATAAAAGGTTCTATATCTACCCTGCTACAGTTTGGGTCAATAATGTCTGTCTGTATCTGTTTAATTTAAATTAATTTAATGAACAAAGTTTTCCATTATAATTTTTTGTCCTTACATTACGGAATTAATATAAATTTAGTGATTTTTTTCGGTTACATTTCAATTAAAATATATTATTAATATGGACATTTAGTGGTATTTTCTG